GATCCATACAAAACGCACACACAAATGAGTCAAAATGTGTCTAGTTTCCTATTAAAATATGTTCAATGTCAAGATCAGTTAAGAAACATTTTTATTAATTTTTATTCAGATTATATTTAAAGAATATATTTTGTTCTGAGAAATATGTACAGTTTTCCCCCCTCATTGTATGCATAAATCCAGGCCAAAAATAAAAAAATTATTTTCTTAAAAAAAAGTTTTGCTTTTAGAGTCAGTATTTTTCTGTTAAAGGAATCTATATATCCTCAAAACAATGTAAATTTACTTGAAGCAAAGTATTTATTAATCGTTATTCAAATTATGTGAAGAGAAATTTTTTTGACCAAAAATATGTGCAAGGTTTATGCTGAAAACAAATTATTGGGCAATTAATTATCTAAAACAAATTGTAATAGCTTATGCAGTTTTGCTTCTCAAGTAAATGTAATTTTAGGGTTACTTGTACTTAACAGTATGGTAACTTGTAATAGCTTATGTAATTTTGCTTCTCAAGTAAATTTATCCATATTTAAAATTTTAGGCTTTTTATTTAGATTTTTTTTAACCAGAAAATTACAAAAAAAAGTGTAAAAGTATGACCAATATTATAGCAAATTCCATTAATTATGGAAATCTGAATATATAGATGGAAGAGGAATATTTACAGCAAACCCAGTGAAGCTCGGCCCTTCTCTCTGGTGTTCTGTTTGAGCATTACCCATTAGTCATTAACACAGTATGCTAATAATAATGGGTGTGCGTATTTGATGCCCTCAAGGTCCTGCTTTTCATCTACATTTTTGTCTCTTTCTCCGTGACTTCTAATTCCTCTCACATCTGATTCCACATTTCAGTTTCGTCCGCGAAATACAGATCGGTGAAACCTTCTGCAGCTCTTCTGCATCAATAACTTATGTTCTTCTGATACAAATGAACAGCTCTTGTGTATTTCCTCAGCTTCAATTACCATTCCCAGCATTCTCTGTTTCTGCATGTGTGTGTGTGTGTGTGTGTGTGTGTACGCTTGAGGCAGTTAGACAGAATGTTCATTATCATACCATAGGTCAGGTCTGTGTGTATTTCCCTAATTGCCTCTCCTTGTACGTGATTTTTTTTTCTCCTATTGCCTTTCTTCTTCTTCTTGTTTGATGATGCCAAATTCCAGGCCTGAGTGTCCTGTCTGATTTCTCCGTACATCCGTCTGTGCTCGGAATTATTCATCGGGATAGTAGGTGTGACGTGCAGCGTTTAAGTAAGTGCCTCGGACCGACCAAAGATGAGAAGCTTTCTCCTTTCCCCCTCCATCCCGCAAACACAGACCCTCCAGTGACCTGACAACGGTTTCTGCAAGACATCACACAACATCATACAGAAACAATGAGGCTTGTTGTTTCCCAATAAGAAAACGAGGGTGGTGAAGGAGTTTGACGCCATTGTCAATCTTTCTCCGACTATCTGCGCCCTCCCCTTCTCTTTTTTCATTTCTTTTTTCCATCGGAGTCTCATAAAAGCAAATTATGTTTTCCCGTGTTTGTAAACAGCACCGAGGTGACAGGGTTCTACCTGTGGAGAGGCTGCAGTCATTGAGAGTAGCTCATCCATTTCTAATGCAATTAGAGGTATCAGTATCTTCTCCTGAGAAGCGCTTCCTGCATGGCCACAATATGGTTCCTCCTTCCGTTTAAATCCCCTGGATTAGATTTGAGTGTCAGCTGGCAGACCTGCTAAGTGTCCCCTGACTAAGTTGACTGGAATGTGTGTCAGTGTATTACATGGCTTTTCAAATGTTTTTCATTGGTTTGTGCACAGAATGGTGTTGCAGAAGATAGACTGACTGTGTGAACATACTTAAATTCATTTTAGAGGAGATGTCTCTCTGAAAATTCTGAAACACTTTGCAATAATATTCAGCTTGTTTAATGTTATTTAAAGGGGTCCTATTATGCTCTTTTACAGTGTCTTGAATTTGTTTTGTGGGTGTACTAGAACATACTCTCATGCTTGGTGGTTCGAAAAACGCATTATTTTTTACATAATTTACATTATTACAATACCTTTCTCCCCAGTCTGGCACAAACGGCTCGATTAGTTCCGGGTTTGATGAACGCCCGCCTTCCGAAAAACGAAATGTGATGTGATTGGTTAGCTATCCCAGTGCGTTGTGATTGGCGAACAGCTTGGTGGGTGTTTCAGTACTGCCCCGCCCCTTGCCAAAGCAGCAAGTTTAGTTAAGGATGGCGTCAATATTGCCATATCAATTTGAGCCGGGTTCAAACCCAGAGAATATTGAACAAGAGGATCGCGCAGAACCTTTGCACGCACGGATGTTGCAAGACATATTAGAGTGGTAACGTTATTGTTGTTTTTTAATTTTTTGGGGGCTAAATCACGTTTTAGATAGGATGTCAACAACCGCTTAAAAATAACTGCATTTACTATGTACAGATAAGTGCATATGTATTATTTTTATTGTTATTTAATTCTAACATTCTAACATGAATTGCAGTGAAACTGTTATACAGTTGAATTTATTTATACCATAGTCCAGTGTTTCCCAGGTGTCCAGTATTATACTGTCAGCAATGTATTATAAAAACGTTTTCATAATTGTAACATACATATTTACATACATAATTATTCAGGTGCATGTGTAATAACTTTCGAAAACTTGAGGCTACAGCAGCACTTCTTCTTTGTCGTCGTCTTGTCTGATGCACTCAGCCCACGAGCTCGCCCCTCCCCACCCCCCAACCTTACACACTGACTAAAATTCAAAAAGTGAAAAAGCATAATAGGACCCCTTTAATGAATTTGGTATAATGAACAACATTTTTAATATATTTATTAATCTACAGGTTTCCTTTTTCAAGTAATGCCATAGAAGAACCATTTTTGGTTCCCCACTACTTAACAAAGAAACATATTTTCTTAGTGTGAAGAACAGTTTAAAACGAATGGTTCTTTATTGGCATCTTTGGTTCCATGAAGAACCTTTAAGATCCATGAAACCTTTCCATACCTTCTTTGATTCTTTGTAGTGGAAGAAGGTTCTTTAGTTTATACATATATATATATATATATACATACTGTGTATATGTGTGTGTGTGTGTGTACCTTTCAGTGCCAGTAAAGAACCTTCATTTTTAATAGTTTAGATTAATGTTAATTTATCTTAATTCATTAGTGTTCATTTATGATTGTTCATAATGAACATTGACATTCATACAACTTGTGAAACATGTTATACATGTATTAGTATTGTTCATTTTTTGTTAGCTATTGCATTACTGTTATATTGAACCTTATAGTAAAATTAAATGAAAATTCTCAATAAAAATTATTGATTTTTATCAATAATTACGCAAATATGTGGGTGTAAGACTTGCTGGCATGATGTTGGAGCATTATATGTGGTTGCAGGATGTTGCTGTGTGGTTACTAAAGTTTTTTTATTGTTTTGCTAGGGTGTTCTGTGTGGTTGCTAGGTGGTTACATTTTAATAATTAAAGTTAGGTGTTTGTTCAAATCCTTAACCCTAACTAGGAGCAATATCAATAGATATCTGAAAGAATTTGATCATGAATATTTGAGATCATATTAAAATCTCTTGATTTTTGAGCACAAATTTTGGTATCTTAGCAAATCTGACATCAGTTTGAGACATTGTTGAGATTTTGTAGAAGATCTAGAGGAGATATATGTGACCCTGGACCACAAAAGCAGTCTCAAGTCGCTGGGGTATATTTGTAGCAATAGCCAAATAAACATTGTATGGGTCAAAATTATCCATTTTTCTTTTATGCCAAAAATCATTAGGATATTAAGTAAAGATCATGTTCCATGAAGATATTTTGTAAATTTCCTACTGTAAATATATTAAAACTTCATTTTTGATTAGTAATATGCATTGCTAAGAACTTCATTTGGACAACTTTAAAGGCGATTTTCTCAATATTTTGATTTTTTTTTTTTTTTTTTGCTCCCTCAGATTCCAGATTTTCAAATAGTTGTATCTCGGCCAACTATTGTCCGATCCTAACAAACCATACATCAATGGAAAGCTTATTTATTCAGCTTTCAGATGATGTATAAATCTCAATTTCGAAAAAATTGACCCTTATGGCTGGTTTTGTGGTCCAGGGTCACATATATGAGAATACTTAGGTCTTTTACTCAAGATAAAAATCTGAGAATCAAGAGATATTAGCAAAAGTCTTATAAGTCATATGCTTTCTGTTTAATCTCATTGCTGTCTAGAAGAAACAGTTAAGATGTTAAAATGATTCCATTTGTGGAATTTTCTTTCCAATTATTATTATAATTTTTTTTTTTTTTGTGGAAACCAACCATACTAACATACATAATATCCCTTATGTTATATAGGATGAATGTGCATCTAATGTTTTTTATATATTTGCTGCTGTTTCACATGTTCTGTAATATACATGAAAATGCCATTAACTTTACATGCTTCTTCAGAGAAGATTGACTGAGCTGGTGTTCCTTTAACATGAGTCCTCCGTGTCATTAATAAGGGTCATTTAGCGTGTGGGAGAGAGCGCTGGCCCGCGCTCTTTGTCTTTAGTGACACCAGCGCCAAATGAGGAGAGACAATGTCTCCCACTGATCAATGAGGGGGAAAAAAGGCTGGCAGTGAAATGAAGTTAAATCTAATGTGATAAACGGCCCCGTCTGTCAGTGGGATCAGATCAGAGGTTTTAATTTTATTCAAGACATTGCGGCTCAGGTAAATAAATAAAGGGTGTAATGTAAGGAGGCGCAGCGCTCCCTAGAGAATCTCAGCCTGAAATTTTAGAGGGTGAGATGCCATTTAACGAAGATAATTTATGTCTGCTGTAGACCATCCACCCAAGATCTGAGATCTTCACATTGGAATTTTATTTTATTTTTTTATTTTTATAAAGTGAAAAAATGGTTTCAGTGGATAACAATAAATTTATATGATTATTGTTGTTGTTTTTTTGCTTGCATCTGTGCAGGAAATGCCATCCGGCCAATCGCATTGCGAGCAGTGTCCGCCATAGCGAAAGCTCTTCCCGGTTTTCCCATTCTGGCCACCGGAGGCATCGACTCTGCAGAATCCGGATTGCAGTTCCTTCATGCAGGAGCCACAGTGTTACAGGTAAGTGGTCGAGTCTTAGTCCCAGTCCAAGACAGTGTGCATTATCAGATCGGGATATTTTATATTAGCACTTCATTCAAATTGAGCTGAATATGAACAAATATGCTGAAAGTCAAATATAATCTAATAAGATTTTATATTAATAAGACCACCACAGAAGGCTGTTTGTAAAAGGATATGCGAATAAAATAAATTGCAGTACTGATAAAAACACCATTTGAATGTAATAAGTAGTTTCAACAATGTTAATTAAGTTTGATCAAATATTCAAAAAAATATCATATATGGGTATTAAAGCAGTAAAGGTGCATTTTGCGTGTCTGTGATCTTTATTTTTAATTGTTTACTTTTATATGCAAGATTTATTGCTTTATTACTTTATAAAACACTTAACAGCTCATTAGAACTACAGCGCTGCTCAAACTCATCAACAGAACCTGGATTTGTTGTGTTTTGAACCTGCTTGTTGTGTGACATCACCATAATTAATAATCAGCGCAACTCAAGTCAAAGTATGTTTGTAGTTTATGACACAATTTGTCATGGTGTGCATTGTGTGTGTGCATTGATACGCAATTACTTTTAATTGGTATTGTCAGCCCTGCATTCGTCTCAGCTGTATGCAAAGTTTTAATGAGAAAACTTTGTCATAAATGAGATACAGTATAGTTAAGCATAATATTTAGATTGCAGATTGAAAAGTGTTTCTAAACTCTCCACATCATGGCATGCTTGTGTCTAGGGAGTAATCAAATAGAGAATCTGTATGCAAATTGATTCTCTATCTTTGAATAAATGCATTTACTATTTTTAAAGGTTAATTTAATGTTTCGGTAATGTCTTTCCCTCTCCTACCTGTTCACTGGGAACTCTTGGGATCTGAAGAGCTTTTTTGCATTCAGACATTTGTCCTTTGAGTTAATATGAAAATTTAATTACGGAATATCTTGGGCTCTTGATAGAATCATAATGCTTTCGATTACAGATCCGCCGCCTTTAAAAAGCCATAATTTGTATTTCATCTTACACAATATAATCACTATTTGTGATGCTTTTCTTGCTTTAGAGATGTTCCTGCGAGCGATGAAAGGAAATGTGCTTTTGTGTTAATATTTTGGGTTTAGTGGAGGATTAGTGCTGTGAATCGTGGGGTTTGGATCTGGAAGATGAGTTTGTGGAGAACACACGCTGTGGCACGCATCCTTTCAAACACATCAAAGAGTCTGACTGCTGAGAGACCGCATGCAACACGCGTCTATGTGCTTCATCAGCACCGATCTGATTGCTGCTTCCTCTCCAGATCCTTTGCCGTGTTTTATCCTCCAGGATAAAACCTGCTCAACCGGGCCTGGCTTGGTTTCGTTCCCCATACGCCTGTCGAATTCAGGTCGGATCCGGGTCAATGGAGAACGAAGCACCTTTTGGATGAGGAACGGGTGGCGGTTGAAAGAATGCGCTGTAATTCGAACTGTTGCAATCAGCGAGACTTGTAGTCAGAACTGAAGGGACATGGAAGAACTGAATGGGAGAATCAGGCTCTTCAAAAGACACGAAACGTCTCGGTGTAAACACAAACGCCGTAGGCACTCGCGCTATTGTTTCTAAGCAGACACATCGATTCGGCGCCACATCAAAAGTATTCTCCCAAGAACAAATAATATAATGAAGTCCATTCATATCCTGCATTGATTTCTCCGGATTGAATAGTGTTGAACCTGTGGAGTTTTGACTTTTCTTGGTTATTGAAGACAGGATTTAGGATATGTCGGCACCAGAGCCTGATTTATCCCATTAACTAAGAGAACTGCAAAACCGTAAAGAAAATCGTGTAGAGCTTCGGTGATACCTGCAGTCTTTCGGCTTTAAATTTCTCTAAAAGTCAAGCAAAGTGTGCAAAAAAAAACCAAATCATTCCATTCAAATGATGCACGGTATCCTGGAGAACAGTAGATTCTTTATTAAAATCATAACTCAAAGTACATCGCTGTGGTTCTTCCACATTCTACACGGGTCTTGGATGTCGCAGTGATGTCAGATACACCGGCAGTGTCTGCGGCTCAGATTCGCATTGAGAAAATTGAGATCAGCATTGAGAGATTTAGATATTTATTTTAGCAAATCAGTTCATCAGGACGTTCTTAAAAGTACGTATTTAATCAACCTTGTTTTATAATTGAGTGATTTACAAATGTTTTGCAGATGGGCCGAATCATTTAAGAGAATTGCTTTAAATTAATGATTCATTTGCAAATTGTACATCACTAGGATTTAGGACATATTTGGATTACAAAAAAATGATCTGTAACAGGGTTATTATAGTAACTAAAAACTAAAACTGAAACTAAAATTAAAACCATTAAAAAATGTTACTTGAAATAAAATAAAGGTTAACTGAAATAATATATATATATAAAACGTATTTGTTACTTATTTTATTTCCATTGTCAAGGCACCATTTCTCATTTTAGTTTAACTTGATGTACTAAAATAAACTAAAACCAAAATAAAAATTTATAAAAACCATATAGATATAAAAAATTACTAAAATTGACAAAAGCACATTATAAAATTACTAAAACTTTAACAAAAATGAAAATGAAACCAGAAAATGTAAAAATAGTGATAGCTACTAAATTTGCACTGATCTGTACCAAACTTCGTTTAGATCATTTTTGTTGCAAATATGTCTTATTTTTAAACAACCAAAATAAAATGTTTTTAGAAATGTTGCCTACCATGTTGGTTTTCTGTAAGTATCCTCAAAATTTCAATATAATGTGTTTTCAAAAAAAAAAAAAAAAAAGACCTGACCAAATTGTTACATTTTGGAATGTTTCATTTAGTTTTAAAATAACATTTAAATAAAATATTTAAAAGTTTTTGTGTTTATAGAATGTATGTTTATATTTAGTGATATTGGTCCTAACATTTAAAAAAATTCATATGTAATTTACCCAGTCTCATGTCATTCCAAACCTGTATAACTTTCTTTGTTTTGCAGAACAAAAAAATAAGATATTTTATTTTCAAGAACGTTAAGGTCTAAGTAAAACTGAAGCCAAAAACCAATGAGATATTTAAAAAATAAAATAAATTGTGCATATGTTCAACAGAAGAAAGTAATATCGTTTGGAACAACATGAGGGTGAGTAAATGATGACAGAATTTTCCTTTTTGGATGAACTGTCTCTTTAAAAACAAGCTTTCTTCTGTCTTAATTCACATTACATAGCATCATTTGACAAACCAGGAGAGCTGATAACCAACATTGCTGTAATGTTACCGGGCTTCTGAGAGCCCATGTACTTTATTCTACCGAAGCTAATATGATCTGCTTGTCGATCGATACTCTTTAGTTGATTCATTACCGAATACATCGCTTTGCAATCACCCTGTAGAGGATCCGGGGCTCCTCATGGCGCCGTATTGACTTTCATGTGTGTTAGTGGATAAGTAACCCACCTGTGTTTAACGCCTGTTATTATTCTAGGAAAAAAAAAAAAAAAAGATCTTGGAATGCTGCTAGATTAAGAAAAAGCGTAACACAGTCAAATGACTTTCATTTACTGAAGCAATGATGTCAAACATTCACACTCACGGTGTTGTTGTAAAGTATAATGTCTGCTGCTTTAATAAGATTGGGCTGTTATGATAGATTTTCGCCTGTCATAATGAGACCGTAAAATAGCTGCATTTAGTGGCAGCTGTAGAAGATCAGGACAGAGTTTTCATAGGGAGGTCTTTGGGGGCAATGGAGCAATATTTCACTAATGGCAGAGCTGGTTCAATCTTAATGATCCACACTGTAATTTGGGTCCTTCCCAGTGCATGTAAACAGTTGCGAGCTGCAATAAAGAGACCGTCATCAAGTAGTAAAAATGACTTGTGGCCCAGAAAGCATCAGGATTTTGTAATTTCGTTTCAAACTGCTAAATGTTTCCGTAGAGAGGGGTGAAAAACAAAAGAATTGTCAACAACAAAGCAAGCATTTAACAAGCAGATGGTTAGAATCCACCCTGGGAAAGCACTCAACGTTTTTTTACACTTGCTTTTGGATGCAGTTAGATTACGTTACAGTAACATTCTAGATCTTTTTTTTTTTTTTTTTACAAATATTGTAACCAGAGCATGATGTGCCAGTTTACATATCTGGATTATTATACGTCAACTTTTAGATGTTTAGTTCTAAATATGTCTCTTTTTTTTTTAAAGGGGACATCAGATGAAATTTTCACTTTTTTAGCTTTTTTTGCATTTAGTTAGGTTTCTGGTATGTCTGCCAGCTCAGAACAGCTGAAAAGAAAACACACAGCCAGTTTGTTATGGGCTGTCTTGAGTCTGAAACTGTGTCATCCAGCGAGCTGTTTCGGTTTGCAGCCAGTTTCTACGTACATAGTTAGCTAATGAGCCATATACGGAGTCCAAGGCAGCAATTCACGCCTCTTGTGTCGACACGCCCCACAGAAAAGAAGGGTGGGGTGAGCAGTAGCTCATTATCATTTAAAGAGACATGCACCTAAACGGCTTGCTGTGAACAGAGCTGGGTTTGACAAGTTAAAATGGGTGTTGTTTTACAAACCATATGTTTAGTTTATGGAACTAAATGAGGCTGAATTAATGATGACAGAATTTTATTTTCTTCTTTTTTTTTGGGTGAACTATCCATTTAAAACCCACAGGCGTTCCTGTTATGCGACTACACACAAAAAAGAAACAAAAGAATCGCTGCTTGCATCCGCAGACATAAGGGTAAAGGTTACACCCTCTTGTTAGACACAATACTAGACTGTATTGACTAAATATAGTCCCCTAGTTCAGTGGCTTGTGAAACATATTTACTTCCAGTGACTTCTATAAAGATACAGTCTTTTTACCTGAAGCGCTAGACAAAATATCAGTTGCTCGTATTTTCCCGGTGTGTTGGTCAATCCGTGCGAATCAAAAAGGACAAGAGCTTCATGCATAGTCATTGTAACATTTTGGGGGGAGATGGTGCACAGCTAAATGCCAGGATTTTATTGCAGGAAATAAAAGAGCAGATAGAAAGAGAGGAGCGAGAGAGAAAGAGAGAGCAAGATGAGGGTAGAGGAGCAGGAGCGCTGAATCTAAAAGTGTCTGAGATCTCAAAAGGAGTCGAAATCAATGCACCACCACAGTTTTCAGAGACGATAAAAAGGACCTGCCGTCTCAATTGCCTGGAAACTACTTAGAAATTCTCACTTCAGATTTATTTCAGGACTCAGCCACATTAGCGCTAAATACTCCAGGTCAGGATATCTTTGATGTTCGGCATCAAATGAAAAGCAATAATGGGCAGCGACTTCTGTTCACAGAGCAACAAGCCTGGGATTTTACAGCCTCATCAGACACAGGATCACGCCGTTTAGTCTTGTTTGCAGTTCTTTTCATCATAATGAATCATTTGTTCGCTCAAATCCCACGTTTTTCTTTAAATGCGTCTGTAAATAGAGAACAAAAATTGTCATGGCACATATCTATTCAGTTTTTTTTTTTCTCTGATAAACAATAGACCACCCATCCTCCCTCCGTAAGACCCGTGTTCCTCTCATACCTGTGAAAAACGACTGTCTGCTCTGTTAACTGCAATAATTACGAATCAATTGTTAAACTACTCGCCAGGCATCAGTGGACTTGTGTATTTGTTGATGTTAAATCAAGGTGAAATGTCATCAAACCGAATTGGAGTCATTCACAAAACAAACGTTTGTTTGTGGTGTGTGGATACAAACTGCGGCGTAAACGGAGAGAGAAACAAGTTTTATGCAAATGAGAATCTTAATGAAAACATATCTCCCAGAGATGAGCTAGCCAGGGTAAATGCCTCCATGTTCTCAGCGTGACGTATGCCGCGTAGGATTTAATTTTTAAATATACAAATGACGCAGCACGGCTGATGATCTGCGCGGCCCCCTTCCCCCTGAGAAAGTCTGCGTTGACTGTGAGGAGGAGGGAGTAGGCTGGGAATTGTTAGGAATTTAGGAATTCTGGTTCTGAATCCACTTAGCGATTTGGGTTCCTTAATGATTTCATTTGCAGCCTCCTCCTTTCCCACTAAACAAAAACAGTGCTATTTTTGCTACCATATTTTTTGTACTTTTTTTAATTTTTTTTTTATTAAAGTGCCATTTATTACAGGGGTAAGCATCCATATGTGCAACTTTAACTACTCTAGTACTAATGCTGCTAGTCTCACTAGCATTAAGTATACATAATGGCATTTGTTCTCAAAGTGTGCTGCACGCCCCTTAAGGGGAACTGGGCGTATTGTAAAGGCTTTATTTGTTGTAATATTCATTTATATAATATATTTTATTTTATTTAATTTTATATTATTATTATTATGTTGCTTTAATATCACTCCAGCAAAGCAGTATTATTTATTTATTTATTGAGTTATTGTATTTATTTATATATAGTCTGTATTTTATATAATTGCAATGTTTTATGTATTTTTTACAACACGAAAAGTATATGCTTTTTCATTTTCATTATTCAGCATTTTCAAAACAATCAAAATATGGGACCATATATATACATATATTATACTTGAATTATTGCTTTGAATGTTACAGTATTACAGTATGCTACAGTATTACTTTTTAATTACTTTTTTAATTTGTTATAATACCCATTTATGCTATATATTTATGCTATATATTATATTATATATCTAAATATAAATATATATATATATATATATATATATATATTATTGTGCATGAACTGTTGCTTGCAACACATAAAGTATGTTTGTTTGTTTTTTAATAATCTAAATGTCATAGCAGGGCACAAAAGGGCATTAAATTGCTTCAGACTGATAACTTATGGTTCTTTGTGACTGATTCTTTATCAAATTCTACTGCACTGATTGCTCTGTTTGTTGCTTGTGATAAGCAACAACAATGCAGTTGAAAATAAGTGTCTATTTATTGTGTTTGCTCTATCATCACATTCAATTCAGATTGCAACTCACAACTCATTTCTTTGGCTGTCGTCCTGTAGTTTCAGTAGCAGTGCAGGAAACTCTGTCTATAGTATTTGTGTGCGCTTTTTTTGTCTGCATCTATGGAGGACCGAAGACGTTCAAGTTCAAGATGTTCAGGACTGTTAAAGGAATGAAAATCAATCTGAAAATTTGAACTGGTTATGAATAAGAACCTTTTATCAAACCCAATCCTAGATATCAGATACAAGCTCGGAGAGAGTCGAGATCCAAAGGTCTGCGTGTCGAGTCAGGAACCAGCTGTGACGCTCACAAAGCGACTGAATGCTAATCCTGTGAAAGAAGGCAGTTCTCGGGCCCACTTCGGCTGTCAGATCGGCGATAGCACCAGGAGATAAGCGTGTCTTATCTGCTTCCTTAAGATGCGGTGTGACTGCCATCTGAAGTGCCGTAGACACTTGCACAAAGGCGGGCTTCAAGCGCTCCTTGCATATCACAGTCTCTGAGCAACAGAAGTGTAACAGAGTCAATGGAAAGGGCTCGGGTGCACGCTGACGTGTGCTTGATGAGTGTGCATAAGCTTGGCGTTATCGGCCTCGTCTATGCCCTGCCGGTAATGAGAGAATGAGTTAGATTTCTCTTAAGGTCAATTGTATTCAGCATGTGCGTTGTAGTACTGCTTTGATTCGGCATGCTGCCGTTTGTCTTTTGTAGCTTCATTTGAAGGATGGCACATGTTTTACTGACCTCCGTTTCTTTTTCTCCCTGGATGTGCATATATTTATTTGCATGTGTTTGTTAATGTGCATATACAACAACTTAAAGGGATAGTTCACATAGAAATTAAAATTCAGCCTTTATTTACTCATTTACTCAAGTGAATGCAGACTGACAAGCACAAATGTGAATAAAAAGCACCATAAAATATCATAAATAAAAAGTGACAATTAGTCACAAGATGTTGCTTGTATATTTTATTTTATGCAAAAAAGTGGCCAGTACATGAAATATTGTGGTGGTATCAAACTTATCTGCAGAAATATTTGTATTTTATTTTAATCATTAGTAGGAATTTATTTTTATTTATTTGTTTTTATTTTATTTATTTTGCTGTTGCAAGCATGAAGATGTTACATGTAAATTGATTTTCATTATATGCATATATATAAGTCTGGCCAGTACACGCAACATTTCTGCTTTTGCGTTCCAAAATTGTTTATTTTATTTTATTTTTATTTTATTTGAATGTATTTTATACTTACTTAAATTCATTTATTTTATTTTAAAAATGTTTTATTATTTATTTTATTTGTAAATGTATTTATTTATTTATGTTTACAGTCAAGGGCTACCACAGAGACACATGTAAATTCTCAGGACAACCGTTTCAGTGATATATATGTCGGTTGTAGGGATATTTTATATGTGGTTTTAAAAAAATAAATGCTTACAGCAGCTTTGAGATGGTGCCATTCTGTCATGATGTTGCATGTGTGTGGAGGTGTATTGTGATTTTTTTCTTTTAGACATTTTGCCTTTTTATTTATAGCATAGTAGTGGAGAGAGGACAGGAATGTTATAGCACATGGAATTGGGAAATGTTGCAAGTCGGATTTAAACTTGCATTGCCCATATGTGCACTAATCACTAGACCACAGTGTACACTGTTATTAAAGAAATGTGTGTTTTTCACTCAGGTGTGCAGTGCAGTACAAAACCAGGACTTCACCGTGATTGAAGACTACTGCACTGGTCTGAAAGCCCTGCTCTATCTCAAAAGCATTGAGGAGCTCCAGGACTGGGACGGCCAGTCGCCTCCTACGGCCCGCCATCAGAAAGGAAAGCCTGTGGCCTCACTGCAGGAAGTCAAAGGAAGGGTGAGAGACTTCACAGCTGTTTTAAAACACCCTTTTACTGATGATTACCCCTCGCCGACTTTCCTCTCACGTTGTTTTTCTTATTACAGTACTCCGACATGCCATTAAGGAGCTAAACGCAATTCCCATAATTCTACAGCTTTAGGAACAAGTGCTCATTAATGCAGCATTAGCATTAAACCCGTGGACTTGCATTCTTCCATTTACTTGTTGTTAGTTCATAAAAATCCACATAATAACAGTGCTGTCCAATACGCAAAGTGGCCGCTTGCACTTCTGCAATCTCAAAGGTGAAAGAACATTATAGAGCAGCGTTTAGTCATTATGCTCCTGTTTTACTCTTTCTTCTGGTAAAAGGAAGCACTTGGAGCAAAATGAGCACTAAGGTTAAAGTACGCCACGCCGATCTAATTTTCCCAAGTTTGAATCAAGCCTTGACTTAGGGGAGAAAATAATTGGTTTATTTTATATCTCAACTTTTATTCCTTCTTTTTCCTGGCACATGCCATTTACATAACAGCAGCAACCAAAAAAATATAGAATCACAAAATGAGATTCAACAAAGGCAGCTGTTCATGCATTTAATGGTTTGTACTTCACGTGTATGTTCAGCCCTCGGTAATCTCCCTCATTATTTGTGCACAAGGAATATTAGGCAGCATGTAAATGAGCAAAACTTCAGTAAACTCCTTTCAAAGCGGCGAATTAAAGGCCTTTATCAGATCACAGCCTTTCTGCTAATACACCAGCCGAGGGAAAAGCTTTGAAGCCCGCCTAGTGTTTTTTAACATGCTAGCTGCGACTTCTCAGCTTCTGACTGCAAGACGGCTCAGCGCAATAGTTTAAATGCTAATGCCAAATGAGCATCGGGGAATGAAGCAATAAAACGAAAGAGAAGCAGGCAGTGATAAGTGTAAGTCATTTTCATGTCGGCAGGACATTAGTGCTGGAATTGGCACAACGATAACATTGGCTCTGGGAAAGCCGAGGGAAGATGTGGAGCATTGTGTAGAAACATCACTACGGTCCACGTGTCCCCCGGCAGCGTTGAGCTGCATTCAGGGTTCAGTCACTGAGCGCACGGGTCACAGGGATGTTCGGTTGACAGGCGGTCTTTTGTAAACTGAGAGAGGGGAAGAAAAATCAATGAACATTAGACCATGTGAGCATTGTACTTCACATCTGCTATTGTACAGGCAAGCTACTTCTCTGTCAGATGGATATATAAGAAAAATAGATTTGCATTTCTTAAGGAAAAATGCCAGTTCTTGCAAGGAGATATGTGATAAAAATTCATTCTGCAATTATGCATATCAATCATGATGCATAATTGCCGGCAAGCATAAATCCAAGTCAAAGAAGATTTGTTTTATTTAGACCATGACGTTTTGTGATCTTCAGTCAAATAGGGCGTTTTATCAGAAATGTATTTTTCATTTACAGTACTGTTCAAAAGTTTGGGGTCAGTAAGATATTAAGAAATTAATATGCGCTAAATTGATCAAAGTACAAAACGAGGATTGGTCAAGAAAAATGTATGAGGATTGCGATATAAGCCAAGAGGAGCCTGGTTTTCCTTTGCTAAACAAAGGAAACGTTGCTTCCTTTGTTCCTGTAAACAAAACTTGGTTCTCGTGAGACTATCATATTCTAACCGAAGCTTACTCTACACCTACTAGTTTGCGGAAGCTAGAGATTACGGATTATAAAGTTTTAAATATGTATATTTTTAACTTCAGGAGGCCTTTATTATAAAAACTCAGCTTTGCATCACACAAATAAATTACGTTTTTTTTTAAATATGTGAAATAGAAAAAATTGTACAGTATTACTGTTTTTACTGACAAATAAATACAGCCTTGGTGAGCTTCCAAAACCTTTTATTAAATTAATTTATTAATTAAAATATTAATTAAGATCTGCATCGGTAGATATGATCATATTAGGTACTTGAAAAGAATTTTAAAACAATAGAGGCACAAAAAATTGTATTTTGTTGAATTCACCTTTTTACATTTTTCTTAATTATAATTGTTGAAATGTTAAAATCACTGTTATATGTTTGAATTGTTTGCCATATTTTAGTCTATGTACAATTTCTAATGGATAATCTATTCCAAATACTGTTGTCATTATCATCACATGAAACATTTTAGAGAACATTTATTTAATTGTTTGTTTTTTGTTTTGTTTCTGTGATTTGTCCAGAAAAGTTCACATTAATAGGTCCAAAGTGAATTGACTGCTCACTAACATTTACCAGGTCCGAGGCGTTTCTCTAAAAATGGAGAAAAATCATTACCATCGCATGTAGTGTATCTGGACCATTTCAGTCCCTGTATTCAAGATGTGTATGATTTGAAAAACATCTGGTTTAAAACACAAAGGTATTAATCTTTTAATAGGATGGAAACACTGTATAAGCAGTGGCTCCATGACACAAACTCACATGCTCCATCTGTTCTACTTCCTCCCTAATCAGGGCATTGTGTCGGCCCCTGACAGTGTGAGGCAAGACAACCTTGCTGAAGGCTTCATTACCATTATAGTCCTGCCAGGCAACACTGAGCCGCACAGACAGCTGGGCTGCTGTTTACAAGTGTTAATACCCCCACGGTCTGGCCTAGCCGAGAGAAAGTGCATCAGATGACCAGCAGACAGTTTCAGTGTTGCACTGCCTAAGCGCAGCGTTTTAGAAATGGCAGCGAAAAACCAACCGCACATCCCCTGAGAGGACGACGCTCGCTGCCTCGGCGAAAAGAAAAAACAAACTTGTCTTTCGCTGAACGCTCCCTTAGGCTCCGCTTTATCAACCACAATGACTTCTGAGCTCTCGTCTTCTTTCCTTCTCGTTGTGGAGTGATCAAACTGCCTTTTTTATTCTTTGTGGCTAACAAATTTTCTCATACCCCTCGCTGTCCTCCATCACCCTTTCTTATCGCTTCTGTCTTCAGTTTGCCACTTTTTTTCCCCTTTGTCTCCCTTCCTCTTTTGCTCTCTCTTGTCTCTCAAGCTTTATATAAAGCGTGTCTGGGCTAGTGCTCGCTGTTCTCAGGCTCATCCAGCTTGCCACAGGTGAGCTGTCAGTCAGCGGAGGGGTTGTCTAAGAGCGGGCTGACAGGTAATATCAGTCTGGAGTCCTTCCCTGCCTGACACAACTCACTGGAAATATAACGTTGTCCAACCATTGGCCCTGCATTTCAATTTCCTGCCCATGTTGTCTTTTATCGTGCAAAATTAATTAAAAATAACTTGAAACACAATAGAGGTACTTCAAATGTCATGCAAGATTTTTTTTATTACAGCGTTTGCAAGGCAAGTAGTGCATTGAAAACCTTGCACTACTTTTTATTATTATTCTTACACTTCTTCAATCTAACCACTTAAGATACAGATTAATTTTAAGTATGGCCTTGAGTTTCTTTTTGCTTTTTTTAATAAAATAAATTTGTTCTGACTGGATGAAACATCTTTAAAGTCATAAACCACACAATCTATTTTAATGCGGCAAGTTTGTACATTACAAACTATATTACTTGGCGGAAGAGTTGTTTAAAATGTATTATTTTTTATCTTTTTATCATTATTATTTAGAATTAATTATTAATCAGTTATTACTAAAAATAAATGTAACACTTTTCTGAACATTGATTTCTTGTATTATATGGATGGATGGAAAGATTTATAGCTGTTATTGAATTGTGGCCGCACATATTAATGCTCCATGTTTCCAAGTTTAAGATAATATGATAAATTATATTACTTGACTAAAGTTATTTATAATTATTTATAATTTTTAATCTTTTTTTGCCATTGTTATTATTCAATAAATGTTAATGTCTCATTTTAAAAATAAACCTTATAAAACAGTATGAAAAAACAGTATGCTCTGCCATAATGTTGTTTCAGTGAATTAATAAATAAATATGTGCCGTAAATATGTCAATGGAGGAAGCACTTTGTGAGGTCTTTACATTTATTTATTCATCTTTCTTGTATCCCAGCTTAATATGCAAGGACAAAACATTGCTCTGTTTGTTTGAACATCCCAACAAACTCAACACGGATACATTAGCTCAACCAGTTTAGGACGAGATCTGTTTGGCCTCACCGATGAGAAATAAAGTGTTTGAGAAACCTGTTTGAACACGTTCATTATTTTTGCTATTCTGTTTGGTGATGTTAGAGGAACAGAAATCACACACTTTATCTTTAAAAGCTTTTCCCCCCAAAACCATCCCATCTTGCAATCTAGCCGCTCGATTGGAATCATGTTTACTTTAGGTGACATATGGGGTCATTTGTGCATAAAGCTGTGAACGGGCCAGTGGAGAACAGTTTAGAGCACTGCTTTAGTGCACATTAAATATGAAGCGACTCAGCCGGCCGCTGTCCTGTTTGCCTGGCCCGAGTGAAGATGTACTGTTATTGCCGAGCGATTGTCCGACTGCTCAGTGGGGTCTTTCATTAGCCCTCTCTCATATCTGACCCACGAGACACTGGCCAATCACAATGCATAACATGCTGCTAGCGTCGTTCAGGGAGGTGTCAGTGCCGCAAAAGTCTGATGGGCTTAAAGCAAGTTACAGTTGAATAAATGTTGGGTAATAATTATATATACTTCAATGTTATCTGCATAAAACCCAGATATAGTACATAGTTTTAAGTTCATTAAATAGTTGCTCTGAGTTATGATTCATAATTATGAGACCATGAGTTATGTTTTCTTTTTGTAATCAGTTTGAGTTTTGTAAATGAAAGTTATTATAATATTACAAATATATAAAGCCATCTGGGGTTTTCTATGGTGAATATTAATCAAATATATAAATTTTTCTTGTTAAATGTGAAGTTTGTCATTCCTGAGCCACTAGCTTAATTATGAAAATTAATTTTTATAAAACACGTTTCCAGAGCACATCCTCATCTGCCATTGGTCGGTCAAACAGATTTCCCTGCCCTAAACTCACGCCATTGATTAAGCCAGTGTTGCTATTGGG